GAGAGAGAGAGAGGGTAAAGGAGAAAAAGGGGAAGGGATTGCCCTTTTTTGTCCAGGCCCCAACTTTCTATATGCTCATATTAATTTTTTTATTCATTTTTGTAAGAAAATCAGATAGGGAAATTAATTTTTTTAGCTTATAAGGAGAAAAAACAATTTCTCTGTTTTGGGCACAAAATAGAGAAAAGAATTTTTGTCACAAAAATGTTTGCATGCTAGATTTTGGATCCAAACAGCAGAAATGAGCAATCTCCATAGAAAACTATTTATGGGAGTAATCATCCATAGATCCACATGGCCCCTTAATATGCTACTTTGCTTCTGCTCTAATTCCGCAAGTACATTCCATTTCCTTTTTAAAAGATGTGTCACATGGTTTAAAAGAATTTTGGTTGAAGCTTATTACATTAGATATGGTTTTCTTCTTATTCTTCTTCTTTTTTTAGGGAAAAATGGTTTCTCTAATTTGAAACCTTTTTTCTTTTTCTTTTTTTTTTTTCTTTTTTTGTAAGAGCAAAGATTGAATAGATTTGATAGAAAATGTCCATGCTTTAGAAACTCTACCAAAGCAAGTGGCATATGCTTCCAGTGCTTTTATTTTCTTTAATGGCCTGACTTCTTTCTTGTAGGTACAAAAAATGGCTGATGAAACAGGATTGGACTTCACTGATCAGATTAGTTCTTTGGAGAGCAAATATCAACAGGTAATTTTATATACTTAATGCACTTCCTTTATCTAGCAGAGAAAATGGATCTTCATTGTATTTATCTTTTCTCATATGAGCCACACTATTTAGCATATTTCATCTCCTCAATGAATCTTTAATGAGCATTTGTTTCTTAGGATGTTCTTTGGTTTTTCTCTCTTATCATGTTTTTCTCTTTGTAGAATTGCATCTTTTGGTTGCACTGCTTTTTAAATTGTTTAATTTATTTCAGTTTTGTAAATATTAAGCTAGTTTCTTAGTTTATTTTGGTAAAATCTTAAAAGTTTCTTGTGCTTGGTGCTGCATTTTATCATGGAAAAAAATGATAGAGAATATTGCACGTGCAATTTTACAAAGTTACTTTTTAACTCCTAGTTAGAATTCAAACTTCACCCTGTTTTAGATTAATAACTAGGTGGTTGTTTATGTGCTTATTATGTATTAACAGACCATAACTTTGGATCATTTATAAATTTAACTTTATAAGGCAGAGAATTCTACTTTTTTCAATGATTTTTCTATGCCGTAGTGCTTCATGCTTCTTTCTTGAGCCTCTAGGTAATATTCGTTTGCATTTGTTTGGATTTGTGATTCAATGGTTAAATGTCCAAAGCACCGCCTACTTTTTGTGGCCTTGACTTTTGTTTTCTGACATTCTTCTTATATTTATCTTGTCATATTATGGATGTATCGTAAGATATGTTTTCCTATCATCTCTGACAGTTGTACTCCTATCATCCTACTTGGCCTGATTTTGTATTTGTGGGTACCTTCCCACAATAGTTTTTATTGGCCGTTGTCCTGCACCTCAATAGTTCAGGGATGAAGCTTGAAGTCAAGGCCTCTGATTTGCTTTCTTTCCTTCTCTTATGAAAGAAGAACATGGAAATGAGCTGATGAAGAGTATGGCTGATGAAGAGTATGCTTTACTAGTTATAGCTGGGCACATGGCAATCCCTAGTCACAAAAACAGTTATCATTTGGCATTGCGAAATCTGTCTAGCAACTACAATGCTACCACTTTGGGAAATGTAGTTATATGTCTAAACGACACAGTAAATCACATAAAACCAAAACTAGGGCACATTCTGGGTTTTTCATTTATAAAACTCACCACTGTATGGATTGAGTTTACTTGCCACATTTTTTCAACTTGGAAACATGTTTTTATTTATTAGTCTATACATAGGGACTATGGTGGCCATCTTTGCGATCTGATGGTATCGAAATCAAAGAAATATTCTATTTAGCAAATATGAGGAGAAAATGATATCAACGAGACCTGTCCTTTTGTAAAGCAGAGGAAAAAACTACATTAAGCAGGTACAAAACAACTGATTCGCCTTATTTTCGGTATCCCTTTGGGGGAAATACTATATCACCATGTAGTAGTGTGACAAAACAATATAAGGACTTATGTGGCCCAGAAGCTTAAAGTTTATCTCTTATCTCTTATCTAGATAAGAGAGACGAGCTTATCTCTTATCTAGATAAGAGAGACAAGCTTAAAGTTTACAAGAGAAACCGCAGACGGACAAAATTATTATAGAATCTATCCTTTTATGTGTTTTATTTATTTCTCGAGTCCTTTTATTCACTTAGGGCCATAAGTAGTAATTTCTATAGTCTTTTACGACTTTTTATTCACTTAAATATTTTTTATAATAAATGACCATGATTAGATCTGATGGATGGTCATGATTAGATCTGATGGATGGTCATGATTAAGTCTTATCTAGGGTATTCTTACATAATGGATGTACTCAAGCATAATGAAGCATCTTAGTTATGGACGTTATTAAAAAATGTAGATCAGCAAGTGCTCCTTCTTTTATTTCTGGGTTTTTTAATATTTCTCGCCCTATATTCTTTTTTGCTAAATCCTAGCTTCAAGATACTAGGTTTGTGCCAATAACCGTTACAGCAACCCATGTCATAGATCAGCCATTGCTTCGAAGCCTTGTGAAATGTGTCAATTCCTTATATGTTTAGCAATTTGAAGACTTCGAACTCATCCAGGATGATGATTCATGAAATTGTACAAATGCTGTTCACTAGCTCTTCTCAGACTTGGTCCTCATCCTTTGCAAATCCTTTGGTTTCAATACTTCCACAATCTCCATCTAGTAATAATAGAATATAGCTTTGATGATGCAGACCCTTAGGAAATGGATAGGGAGAATGACAAGTCAAAACAGCAAAGGAAATCCTTTACTTGAAAGGGCAGCTTGCTAATAGAGTCTAGCAGATAATGAACTAATATGTACTTCCTTCTGCTTTCACACAATGTTCAAAAAGGCAAAGGCGGGCCTCCTAGGCCGGTGCCTAGATACCTAAGCGGCCCTAAGTGCAGGGGTTGGGTTGGGGGGCATATGTTGTTTTGTGTGTTTGTTTTGTGAATGTGTGTGTGCATGTGTGTAACGTGTGTGCGTGCACGTATGTGTGTGTGTGTGCGTGTGAGTCCTCGCTTGAAATTCTTAAAGATCATCCTCTTTTTTTGCTTTTGAATCTATATTTGTGAGAGAGAGGTCTCAAAGACTCAAACTTCGGGAGAATGTTCTTTTTCTTCTTCTAATATGGACAGAGAGGGACCTCGCATCAAATACTTGGAGGTCAGCTTCTTCCTTTTCTTCTTCTTACATGTAAAGAGGGAGCATATGGGTCCATATGTATCTTTGTTTGGCCATGTGTGTGTGAGATAGAGAGGCCGTGCACCGGACACTTGGAGGCTATCTTCTTATTCTTCTTCTCATATGTAGAGGGAGCATATGGGCCCCACAGAGAGAGAGGGAGAGAGAGAGAGAAGCATTACACAGGCCTGATATTTGATATATTTTTTTAAAGGGGTCCCACCTAGTGCCACCCCTTTCTTTGCAAAAAGTTTGTGCTCTTCATCTATGGATGGATTCAATCTCTAGTTCTTTCATTACTTAATCTTGGATGATAGCATCTTTTTGCCATTTTAGGTTGATGCTTTATTATGTATGACTAATGCCTTTCTGTACTATCTGTCATCTGTGGAACCAGTTGGTACTTTTTATAACCGACTGGATATTGTCACTAAAGTATACAACCTAGTTGGCAAATGGGAAAGTTAGGTGATTTCTGGAGTAGCGAGTGGGAAAGTTATTTGATTTCTGGATTAACCTTTTTATTGAGATGTGAAAAAAAAATTGCATGAAAAACATGGATCCCAAACATAGGGATAGTTTGTCTATGCTGGAAAAAGGGTTTTGCTTTTAACCTTGAAGACTACTGATCTTTCAGAAAGAGAAGTAGAGAACTTTGGAGACTATTGATGCTAAAAGTTCCTTTATATTATTGTATCCCTTTCTTCTTAATAGGATATGGACCTGATGAATGTTTATTATCCTTTTGTGTTAGGCTTTGAAAGATCTTTACACACATCTGACTCCAATTCAACGGCTAAGTATTGCTCGGCATCCTAACCGGCCAACTTTTCTTGATCATGTGTTAAACATAACCGACAAGGTCTGAAGTTTTGCTTTGGCACCAAGTTCACACCCATTGTTTTGGGGAAAGTATTGCCAATAACGAAAGGAAAACCATCGTTAGTTGGTATTATCATCGTCCACTAAATGATGGTCAGTGAGGTAGAGAGAGCGGATCACAGCATTGTTGTTATGATCGGTTCCACTCTCCATCATTGTCCATAGTTTCATTGGACAGAGATGACTCCACTGGACTGAGTATATATATTTTTTATTTATAAATATTTACCTGTTTGCGTAACATTTTTTGAGGAAGTAGGCTATATTTGAGGGAAAATGATTACTTCCATTTTTTTATGTTATATAGTGGGTGGAGCTTCATGGGGATCGTGCGGGTTATGATGATCCAGCCATTGTGTCTGGTATTGGAAGCATAGATGGCAAAAGCTACATGTTCATAGGTCATCAAAAGGGTAGGAACACAAAGGAAAACATCCACCGCAACTTTGGAATGCCCACGCCTCATGGGTATCTTGCTTGCTCCCTAGATATGCTGGTTTGTTTATTATTGTTAACTCGTGATATGTGAGTTCAGGAGATGTTTAGTCATTATTTATTATACTATTGTGGTGGTTGTGTTCGTGTCACCTCACCCCCTGAAAATAGGAAGAAGAAGAAGAAGAAGAAATGAAACAAGATGAAGAGATGAAGAGAGTTTAGGATTAGGAGAACAGAGAAAAAAAGGGAATCTGAAATAAATAATTTTCCCCTGAATTTCCTTTAAATCTTTCATTCTTCCATCGCAATTTGCATGTCCTCTCTGCATTGTCTGTGCCCTCCTCCTCTCTCACTCGCACACACACGCACACACACACACATGTATTTATGGCCCATCTCTTTCTTTCCTAAATCTCTCTCCCTTCTTATAAGAATCTCTCACTCTCTTACTCACATGTGGCTTATGCACCTTCCTTAACATTCCTTTGGGAAATCTACACTCTTGGTTTTAGGCCATGCATCACATGGTCTGCTGACTACTATAATGCAAATTGCCTAGGAGAATTTATGATATTAAGCATGCATCGAAAACATAGTGTTTCGTGCTCTATGGGTAGGTTTCCAGTGCAGGTCTTTTCCAGGATATCATCTGTCCATGCCCCAAAAGTTGAATGTCTAAGCACTAAGAGAATCTGATTTATGTTCCTGTCTTATGCACTCCTTGGTTCTGTTTGAAACTTCACCAGGTTAAAGATTATTGAAAGCCAATGACTATAACACAGGTATCGGAAGGCCTTGCGTATGATGCACTATGCTGATCACCATGGATTTCCCATCATCACATTCATTGACACACCTGGAGCTTATGCTGACATTAAATCAGAGGAGCTCGGTCAGGTATAAAATTTTGTGACTTGTAGCATATGTTAGATTTGTTTGTAGGGACTTGGGAAACTGTACTAGTCCAATGAACTGTGTGGAATAATAGGCCATGCATTTGGGACCATCTGATGAAATGGATGGGGATGAAGAGGGATTAGACCCACCATTTGGGTTATTTCGTGTTCTTGTGGGTCCCACTCACTCACCTTCACTGATCATAATGAAATTAGAGAGTGATATCCTCGTTGGACTATTGTTTTCCTGTGGTCCATTGGATTATAGTATACATTGTCTAGGGAACGGAGTAAATTATTTGTAAAATGAAAATGAAATGAAGCAAAATGATTGCATCTTATACTGTTTCTTGAATTGTATTCTATTACAGGGGGAGGCAATTGCCCATAATTTGAGGACCATGTTTGGCCTCAAAGTACCAATCGTTAGTGTTGTCATTGGGGAAGGTGGTTCTGGTGGGGCTCTTGCGATTGGCTGTTCAAATAAGATGCTTATGCTGGAGAATGCTGTCTTCTATGTAGCCAGGTACCACACTGTCTCTCACTATTTTTCAATTTTTTGTTAGGTATGTCGCAATGCACTTACATTTCAGTCCTCATAAGACATCTTTTACTAGAATCTTGAAACGAAATTAAAATTCACACTTCCCCCCCCTCTGGGCACATTTTTTCTTCTCGCATCTAACAACCTTGTTAAATTAATATGCAGCCCAGAAGCATGTGCTGCGATCTTGTGGAAGACTGCCTCAGCATCTCCTAAGGTTTGCATTTTTGCGACTCTCAAACATGTTAATTATACTTATTCTTCTACTTTTCTCACTCTCATTGTATTTCAATTTGAATGCGATTGACTTGCGGTGCAGGCAGCTGAGAGGCTTAAGATTACTTCCAGTGAACTGTGCAGGATCAAAATTGCAGATGGGATTATTCCTGTAAGTAGTTTGCTATTTCATGATTTTTGTTAATTTTGATGTACTGTAGTTAGTATTATTTTATCAGATTACTAAAAATTTTCTTATAGTATTTCAAGTTCTTTGCTGATAATTACAGGAACCTCTTGGTGGAGCACATACTGACCCAGACTGGACTTCCCAGCAGATAAAGATTGCTGTCATGGAGGCCATGGATGTAAGTGTGTAGTGTTTTAAATATGAATGAGTGTTTTGTGGGGTCAAGATGTTATACGCCACACCTCAAATCTCACCGGAAAATGTAGTTCCAGCAACGAAAAACCTGCAAATTGATCCTCTCGACCTGGACAATCATGGATTTGAAAAAAAATTGCATTTCAAGGCCCAAAATGGTCTATCTTGTAACACGTTTTTGGACCATACATTTCAAATGTTCATGAATCCCCAGATCTGCACTATTTTTAGATTTTCAAATTCCATTAGTCAGAGGCAGAAAAGAGATTTGCATGCCATCCCAAGCATTCCCAGCACGAGAGCTGCATTTTCCCCCTGGATTGGAGATCCGGCTTTACCAAATATCCTGAAGTCTGCAACCCTATGAAAACTGCAGCCTGTAAATAGTCTGATATGATTTGCTAGATTTGTTTTCATTAGAATAGGCTGCTAAATTTTCAACCCTCAATTCAATTTTGGGGCCCTCGACCTAAATTAGTCCTGAAAACTAGTGGAGTTTGGGTTCATGAACCCACCTGGTCATTTTATCAGTAAAAAACGATTTATCCAGAAATTCAAGTTTTGTGGAAAAATCACTGCAAATATGCTTTGTGATTAAACCCATTAATCTGACCTGTATCTTTCATTCTGAAATGCAACAGTGTAACCAAGATTAAGAGAGGTATTCCTTATGAATTCTATAGAAACTGATTTTGTTTTGAACTAAGCATCTTGTGAAAATCTGCATAAATTCGGGGACCTGTTGAAATTGAAGTTCCAATGGAAAACAAAGAACACCCCTTGAATTTAACAGCATCCAAATTTTGCGGGAATTTCATTTTTTCTTTTCTAATAAAGGAAGATGTTTTTGAGATTTCGCTTGAAATTCAGCAAAAGCAATTTCGAGTTAAATTTCACTGGTATCGGGCCTACTAATCTGAATTCAAATTTCAATTTTGACTGCAGGAGCTCACGCAAATGGACGCAGATACCCTTCTAAAACATAGGTATCAGAAGTTCCGAGTGATTGGTGGCTTCCAAGAAGGTATCCCTATAGACCCAGAGCGAAAGCGAAACATGAAAAAATCAGACCCGGTTCTCCTTTCTACCCTAGATCAAGAAGTTGAAGAGCTAAAGGAGAAGCTTCAAGAAGCCAAGAAACCTCTAGAAGTTTTCACCAACCTCAAGCAAAAGGTTGACAAAGAGATAGAAGAAGCCTTAGAGTCTCTAGGGCTCAAGAGCAAAATTGAAGATCTCCGCCAAGAGTTGGCAGAATCTGGCAGTCCATCTGACCCCAGTGTAAAGGCCAAGCTCGAGGAGCTAACCCAGGAGGTCATCCAGTGTTTGCCAGAGGAGTTAAAACAGAAAGTGGAGGCGTTAACCAGAGTTACGAAAGTGTTACCCAGAGTTAAGAAAGTGTTGGATGAGAGAGCCGAGGCTGAGAGGATTAAGAAGGAAGTTAACCAGGTGTTTGGCCAAGAAGAGGCTAAGGAGAAGATTATTATATTGAAGGAGGCGAGGGAGAAGGGGGAGCAGCTTCAAGAAGCCAAGAAACCTCTAGTAAATTTCACCAAGCTCAAGCAAGAGGTTGACAAAGAGATAGAAGAGGCCTTAGAGTCTCTAGGGCTCAATGGCAGATTCAAAGATCTCCGCAAAGAGTTGGCCGAATCTGGCAGTCCACCTGACCCCGGTGTAAAGGCCAAGCTCGGGGAGCTAATCCAGGAGGTCGACCAGTGTTTGCCGAAGGAGTTAAAACAGAAAGTGAAGGCGTTAACCATACTTGAAAAAGAATTGGACAAGAGAACCAAGGCTGAGAGGATTAAGAAGGAAATTAACCAGGTGTTTGGCCGAGAAGAGGTTAAGGAGAAGATTATTGCACTGAAGGAGGCGAGGCAAAAGGGGGAACAGTTGGATCCAGATCGGACAGTCGAGATTGAAAATTTGAAGAAGGGTTTGGTGGAGGTTTTGGGGTCACTTAATGTGGCGGTTGTACCACCAAATTTGGGGAAGGTGGTGGTGGAGATAGGCAAAGAGATTAAGAAGGCAGCAGGTTTGGCAGGGGTTGGGGGTAAACTAGCAGAGCTTAAGATGGAGTTGAGCAAAGGGGAAGGTGCTGATAAAAATAAAGCGAAGGAGTTGGTGTTGGAAATTAGGAGAGAGATAACGAAGGCCCTAGATTTGGAAGCAATTAGAGAGAAGGCGGGGAAGGCAATTGGAGAGAAGGCGGGGAAAGCTGTGGAGGTGTTGGTGGAGGAGCCAATTGGGGATAATGGGGAGTCTGTGGATGAAGAAGCAACCAGTGTATCATCGGCTGAGATAACGAAGGCCCTAGAATTGAAGTCCATTAGAGAGAAGGCGAGGAAAGATGTGGTGGTTTTGGTGGAGGAGCCAGTTGTGGATAATGGGGAGTCAGTGGACGAAGAAGCGGCCAGTGTATCATCGGCTGAGGTCGAACTTGGGTTGAGCAATGGATATGGTAATTGATAAGTGTTGAGATGATCGTTGTTTCCCCAACAATTTTGGTTTTTGATTTTCCTTTGGACTCTCTCTTGAGAGTTCTGTTTTTATATCTCAGTTTCTTCTTTTCCTTATCTCTCTCTAGTTCGTTTTGCTTTGAAGTTTTAACACTCGTGTCTTTCTCTTCTTTGGTCATTGTCTTTTCCTGTATTCTCATTCCCAACCCATTTCTTTCAATTTTCTTATCCTTTCATTTTCCCATCTGTCCCCTTTTCTCTTCTTTTCCAGTATTGACTTGTGATGAATCTGGTTACTTATGTTGGTTATTATTGTTATTGCAATTACCATGTAAAACGCATGAACTATGGTTTTTTCTTCAATTTTTTAAATATATTCTTTGGTAATAATTGGAACTTGGATTTTCTTAGTTAGGAGGGAGATTGTGTTTTTATTTTGGGGTTTTGGCTTTGTGTCAGTTGGACAGGGAATTATCCAATGAAAATAGATGGGAATGGATAGAGTGGGACCAACGTGACCAGGACGTAACGACAATGGTTCACTTTCTGTTGTCGATCACCTTGGCCGGTTTCTTGAATGGTGATGATCCCACTGGATTCCCATTTTTCTTTGTAGCTCAATTTCTTTTATGGAAAATTTGTATAAACTGCTTTAGAAATCGAGTTTTGTGCATTAACAATGAAAAACTCGTCTTTAGAACAATGACATAAGTATGAGGGAAAGATTTATATTTGAAATTATGAGGGAATTATTTCTATTTGAAATTATGGGCTCGGCTTTAGAACAATGACATAAGTATTTTCAAGGAAAAAATGATGTTTAGCATTCAACCCGAAAAATAATGGAAAAAGATTATATAAGGGCAGCAAATTTAAAATGTAGAATCAAAGTACACCTCAAAAGTTCATCATAAAAGGTTGTTTTGACGTTGGAAAATCCTCTAATTGATTATTTAAACATCAGGATGTATGATTAAGAAAGGAAAAAAAGGATTTTGAATCTTAAAAATAGTATATATTACAACACTCAGATGTATGATTATGGAAGGAAAAAAAGGATTTTGAATCTTAAAAATAGTATATATTACAATACATTATTTGAACTATCTGTCGGACCATTTTCAATTGTGTATAGGTATATTAGATTGAAATTATTTTTGGAGTTTCAAATTGTATAACTAGTGATAACAATAGATTATAAAGCCGTCTAAGAATTATTTACACCAAACTTATATTTATGACAAAATTTAGAGGTATGCCGTAATTGGATTGTTTAATGTTGCAACCTTCTACAACCCACACCCAAAAAAAAAATGGATTTCTAAATATTAGGACCTTTGCCAAAATTAGACGGTCTTGATTTAATCTTGGAACATTGTTTTATTTGGTGAATCTCATTGCTTTTATTAAAATTCTAACAATATTCCTAGGTTTTCATTTTGGAGTATTTGTCAAAAAAACAAAAAAAAGGGGGATTTCACCCGTTGGAGACCGTGCTCCTAGCATAGAACATTAGAGCCTTCAAATGAAGCAGAGTTGCACGCTGTGCTTCAAGATTTAAAGTTGACGAAAGATTTAAACAAACCTATTATTGTGGAAGGGTACTCATTGAATATTATTAGTTGGGTGCAAAAGAAAGCTCGATTTCTTAGGAGATTTAATGAGCAGCTCGATTTCCTAGGAGATTTAATGAGCTGATGCGAGAATTGTTTGATGTTTGTAAAAACACGGTGTGTTCTTTTACACACGTCGATAGAGAATGTAACATAGAGGCTCACCAGTTAGCTAAAGCTAGGATGAGTTCAGTAGAATTAGTGGTTGTGTAAGTTTTGTGGCTTTTGTTTTTTATTTTTTAAAGTGTGGTTGTAATTTTGTTAGTTGATCTTTGATGGTATGTAGTTTGTAAAGGTTTGAATGAATAAAGTGTGAACTTTCTTCAAAAAAAGAGACTTAATCCATGTTAAATAGTACAGGGACGGATGTAATGGTTAAGTTATAATAGTATGAAATAAAATAGGAAAATGGTTTGATGGGCAGAAACCCTATCAAAATAAGCAAAGCCTCACATCATAACTCATCAAAAATTACAATTCAAGCACTAGAAAACCTTTACATTCGATCATCTTGGCTTGAACATTATGGTTGTGAAAAAAAAAAAAAAAGATTTTAAACTCTAAAAATAGTGTATATTGTAACAAATTATCTAATATGTCGATTTCACCCTAAAAATAAGTATTCATAAATCCACAAGATTTGTACTATTATTTGAGTTTTGAATTTCATTGTCGGTGTTGGAAATTAATTTTAAAGCCATCATGGAGATTTTTGTTGCTGAAAGTGCTTTTAAAATGAAAATTTGAGGTGAGGCAATATTTTGCTTTTATAAAACCTAGGCCTTATAGAAACCTCATCCAATAAAATATAAATAATATAGCCGTTTCTCTCTCTAATATGTAGTACAACATCTTGTTTCTCTCTCTAGTATGTAGTACAACATCTTGTTCACAAAAATTTCAACAAAGCATAACACAAGGGAAAATTTCGGTCTCTGTCCACAAGGCTAACCGTTGAAATAGCTTTCCCTATATCAACAAGGCTCCAACCCCATCTTGAGAATGGCATGTATTGTCATGCATTGTATGTGGAAGTATTGATCGTGGAATTTAGTGAGGGGGGGGGGGTGGTTAAAAGTCTCATCCTTTTATCTTAATCCTTTGATGTCACCTAATTGGAATTTTTCAATTGTGAAAGCTTGTTACATCGGAATAGAACTTGAGACGTAGTGTTATGAAAACCCATTTGCTCCAATCTTGAACCATGCCCAAATCCTAATTTTCTGGAGCCATAGCAAAGTTTAATTTTATAATTTCCTTCACATGGTCAAGACCAATGTTATCGGATTCACTTCGGAACCTTCTTCGTTTTGGCCGAGAAAAGCGAAGTAATGTGCTTCAGCCGATTCAGAGGAAAGGCTTCGGCCGATTCGGAGGGAAGGCTTCGAATATTTTTTAAAAATTAATATAAATAAAATATATCCTTTATATATAGAAATATATTAAAATAATAATGTAAATCAAGAAATGGATAACCAAAAAAATTTATTTTTATTTTGAGTTTCATAGATGTGGGTAGACTTTTATCTTTTATTGGGGTTAATTTATAGGAATTGTTGTATAGAGTTTTTCGTGAAATTTTATTTATTTTATGGGTAGGGCGTTAAATTTAATTTTTTTTTTTAAGATTAACTTGGTCTTTTTATTATTTTACTTTGTTAGTCTCCTATTTTTTGGGGAACCTATTTTAATGGGAGTTACGTTTTTGTCTGTAGGAGGGGCTATCTTTTGAGGAATTTATGTTTTGGAGGAGTCCGTTTTGTTTGTTGACGAATATTATGGGCTTTTATTAGAGTTAGAAACAAATAGAGAGAGAAGGGAGACACCTAATTTAGTGTCACTGCACTGCCATTTGCTTTCTAAAAAAAAAAAAGCTAATGTTATATATATATATATATCATACGATTTGAAAGGAGTTGGAAACTATTCTGCTCACTGATAATAAAAATACTTTATTGTACAGTTTTAATACTAGTTTTAAATTCAAAAGTTCCTTTTCTGTAGACATTAGAGGCTGAAACTTTAGAGATATTCCAATTCTGAATCTGTTTTTCTATGTTGTCTATAGTTATTTCTTCTTTATTTCTTACATGCAGTGTACTATTATAAGAAGAAGTTGTTCTATTGGATAGAGTCCAAAGGAAATTTGCCATTTCTGATAATTTTTTATCACTGAGTCAGTCGGAAACAGTCCCTGTACCTTTTTCAGCTCTTATTGACCTATCGGTAATTCGAGTTACGACGACTTTTGGTGTCAATCTTATTATCTTTGTGGAAAAATTTTTTAGTTTCTAGACTCTAGAACAATCTTTTACTACAGTTCACCACTGTAAGCCAATGGCTCTGATACCAACTTAGAAACAGGAAATAAACTTATAACAAAGAACTTAGAAACAATATATCAACTTATAACAAAGAATACAACATTCAAACAGTATTTATACACACAGCATATAGTTACAAAGTTACAGAAGCACTTACATTTGACACTTGCAGAAACTGGAAAAGAGCTTCCACTCTTCTAGACAGTAAGTAGGTAGACAATCGCAGTGACGGTCACACATACAACAATTCACACACTAAGCACTCACAGTACTCAAACTATTACAGTACTCAAACACTCAAAATATTACACTACTCAAAACACAAACAATACTCACCAGTTGAGACTCAAGGACCTCTATCTCTCCTTTTCCAAAACCTTCTTCCTTCTTCAACTTCTTCCCCTTTTATAAACATTTTGCGGATGCCATAGTTTTATTTCAAGTCCATACAGTAGCTTAAAGGCGTTAGTGATAGATGGGACTTAAAGGTGTCGGTGATAGATGATGTTGGTATGAACAGGGCCTTTGAGTTGAAGTTAAAGATAAAGGGTGAAATATGTTGTCAGCATGAACAGGGAGTCTGAGTTGGCAAAAAATTAAAGGTAAAAGGTAAAAGATATTGTCGGCATTTTATTCTTAGGACTCGTGTGCTTTTGAATTTGCGGTCGATCCGTCCTTCGTATGTATTGTGGTATTTTGAAATCCATATCTTCCTTTATTGTGATATTCCGAAATCCATATCTTCGTTTTCCTTTTCATAGTTTTCCTCATTCTGAGTTGACGTAGACATGGCTTCTTCTTCCTTATCAAATATTTGTAGTAACTTCTTTTCTAGCTCTTCTTTAGTTGCATTAGGGTTTTGCTGGCTAATCTTATTTACATAATCTGCCATATTTACTTCTGTATCAGGGGATGAAAATGATACATTTTTTATTTTTATCTTTTAAGGGTTTAGGGCTTCATTTTCGTAAACATCCAACCACTTTATGTATATTTGTTTGCCTAGTTCAGGAATATACTCCCAGTTATTTGTATAATCATATGATATATGGTAGGACCATTTCATAATCCATGGGATTTGGTATAAAGCCATAAAATGCATATGGAGATCTATTTTGGGATTATTACTATTGTGGTCTATGAGCTTCCTTTGAGAAGCTTGAATATTAGGTGGCAGTATTTCTATTTCGGATCCCTATAATTGGAACCAATTTGAGAATTCTTTTATTACTGGTATTTTTATTTGTATAACCATGTATGGGAATTCATATTATTTTGAAAAGCAAAGACCTCATGCGATGCTTTAATATATTGATAATTTTTATTGTTGAAACCTTCAGCTTGCAATTTTTTAGGTTTTAAGGGGTTCACGCCCCATTTTTTGTATGAAATTATTTTGCGTATTTGGAATTTGGAATAAGCGATCATATTAGTATTCTTTTTATAAAAATGAACTAAGGTAATTGATATATATATATATATTTTTTTTTTTTTTTTGCCAAATATCACTTACAAATATTCTTATTACAATAATACTTATTTCAAAAAAAAATAAAACTAATAAATTCAATATCTTAAAAACCTTGATGCCACTAAACCGATTTTCATTAATCAAAAAAAATAACCACAATTTTTATGATTGAGAATGTAAATACTATATAATTAAATATGGTAAGAAACAAAAAGGGTGCTTTAGATTATCTCAACCGAACGGGTTGAGGCCAAAAACCCGCCAATAGAACTATGAACTCCTCTTAAATCACAAATATCAAACTTAGGTTCAAACCCACAAAATCTAGTTTAAGAGAGATAACATCTACTTACTACCCAACCCTTAATATCAATACTACCACAATATAAGCTAAGAGAGAGACGATCACAACATAAGCCAAGAGAGAGAGAGAGAGCTCCTAGGTTGGGGCGTGTCCCCTTGGGCATTAGAGAGACATAACTCCTAGGTTGGGGCATGCCCCCTAATTTACCTACTAGATAGAGAGATATTTAGAGAGAGAAGAGAGATTTAGATGTAGAGATTTATGGGTTAAGGGGTCCTCTATTTATAGTACAAAAATAAGATTAGGTTTTTTAGGATTTTTCATGGCTTACCTCTTCTTGCAAGATTGAATATGAACAATTGATCTTGGGTGACTTGTGGGATAAGAGATTTGAGCTTTCAATTCCATAGATGAGCCGTCAACATCATGGAATATGCTAGAACCTTTATTTTTCTTTCCTAAATAATTTTCTCATCAATATAAATTAAATAAAATAATTCTAAATATAATATTGTGCATACCAAAATAATGCATAAGCCTTTTCATGATTTCCAAAATCATCTGAAAGCTTCCTCAAGGTAAAATCTCTTCAAAACACATCAAAACTTTTTCTTAACTTTCATTAGAATGGGGCGTGCCACCTTAGGTGGTACTTCATGCGCCCCACCCATATACAACGGTGGCCCATTAATATATTGGGACTCCTATGCAATATTAAAATTATTAAAATTAATAATATGATTTTAAAAATCTACAAAATCAAATGTGAATATTTAAATCAATCTAAAATCAATATATCTGCTTTTATAAAAACAATTTTGATAAATAAAATATCAAGAGATTTAGCCAAATTGAAATAATAATTCTAAAAATCATATATCATTAAGACTCACATAATTGAATTCATTGGATGAGAAAATGATCCATATGGTTTAAGAATTAAACAAATAAACATTGGAACATTCCACCATCAACTGTGGACTACGATCTACATTTACTTTATCAAATCGACCCAGTGTTTCTCATGACTCACAGTCCATACAGGGGCTCATTAGTGGATCACCAAAGTCTGGCCAATGAGCAAAGGGGTCATAATCCCAGTTTGTGGATTTCAGGTTCTCCCCTTGAGACGTACCAAGATCACTTAGACTTGATGCGACCACAACTCTTATGGCGCATAGGGGTACTCTCACACATGCTTAAACTTCACCCTGAAAGATGGCTCGCTTTCCCGAAACAATTATCATATATCCATGACGTGTGATGATATATGGATGAGCCTTTGTCCCCCTTCTCTAAAAGCCACCATCACACACAAGGGTCACACAGTCCTTCGGCTCACGCTTCCGGGCATACTCCAACATCATCAAGGGATGACCTATTAGAGCCATTATCCGATAGTTTTCTATTCCCATGCAACATAGGGTTTTTTCTAACCAACTGACCTAGTTCGTAAAGCTCAGCTCAGTATCAGCAAATGTAATTTGCTTAATATGGTCCATGAAGGACCACTCCCACTAAGTTTATGTTTTATTATATCAAAATGTTTATTACAAGCACTCGTAAGGCCTTTAAGACCACACTCACCCAACATCCTACACCATTTGGTGACATTTAGTGAATCCCTTCCACCACAATGTCTCCATTAAATCCTGTGTCAATGACAATTTGAAGACCTTGAAGGAGAGCAGTTAATTCAACTTGATTGGCGGTTGTGGAGCCACAAGGGCCAGAGAATGAGAACAACACACCTCCATAACTATCACGCAACTGGCCTCCAGCACCAGCTGGACCTGGGTTACCAAATGAACTGCCATCAAAGTTAAGTTTGAGGCAGCTGGTGGCGCAACCTAGATTTTGTTCGGTCGGTAAAGGGCAGAGCAAGAATTAACGAGAGCTTTTAGGTTAACATAAATATCCGACCGAAGCATCATGGGTAACATAAAACCAGCTCCAAAGCGATTGCAAAATAAGGTGTTCGACCCTCTCAATACACTGGGAGACCCATCAAAAGTTTTTCTGTTGCGCTCTAGCCATAAATTCCAAATAATACCTCTTCTGAAAATTTACCATAACCTTTTTTTTGGAATACCTATTACATCAAGATGATCAATGATGCTATCAAGATCCCGAGGTAACTGAAAAAGACTCTTACCAATAAGAAGGCCCAATACCATAAAGTGCTTGCAAAAGGGCAATGTAAGTGCATCTTTCTTGCATAACAAACAAACACATATTAGGGATAACTTTACCCCGCTTTTGTAGATGACCATTAGTTAAACATTTTCCTTGAAAGGCCACCCATAAGAAGGATTGCACTTTAATAGGGATCGTGAGATGGCAAGTTTATTAGGAATAAAGGTTTATCTTTTAATAGGAACTAATGAGAAACTTACCATTTAAAAATGGGAAAAGTTTATGTAAGAGACTGAGGGCGTAGATGCACAATGTGCTCCCACAGGAACACATCATACGCCCTCTATAAGAAAAATAGAAGACGTGTGCCATTTTCCTCTTGTACCTGTTGTGATTGCCAGCACGTGAGCAATTGCAGCAAAAGAAGGGCCATCAGGGGGTGCTGTGCTCCTTGTAATTTTTGTGATAAATATTCCCATACAGTAAAGCCGTCCCACTATTTTTGCTTTTTCATAGGTGGTATCTCTGTATTCACCCTTCCATTATTATTATTTTTTGAATATTAACGCAAGCTTTCCGTTAATCATAAAACCAGATTACATTTGCATTGACATCTTTTTGAACTTTTCCATTTACATTTACTGATACCAAAGGAAACCGATCTTGCACCACTTTTTGTAGATAGTTCTCTAACTTATTTCCTTAAAAGAATAATCTCCATTTTGGTTCAGTCCTTTTGACAGGCAAAAGAGAGAAGCCTGAACGCAAAATCTATAAATTTACAGGGAAAGAATGCCTTCTCTTTGTGGTTTAAACCTGAATATAAATTGTAGACCGGTTTTGAAAGTTTCTCCCTCTCAGTTCCATTCAGATGATCTGCACAGCATCGTAAAAATATCTGTGGTTAGAGAGAGAGTAAAGTATTTTTTTTTTTGGATAATTCAGTGGGGAAGGAATGCTCCTACCTGTTTTTTTAATAGATTGGGAAATTCTATTTTGAAAGCGTTATAATTGGGTAAGCAATAAAAATGGATACCACGACGTTGTAATTAGACATGGGGATGGTATCACCACGGCCCAACCCCTTTCCTAAGAGAGAGCAAAGTTAAGAGGTCATTATTGAATATGGAGAGAGAGAGAGAGAGAGCTCATTCTTTTTTACTAATTTTTTTTAGGTGAATCAATGGGGATGACGGCCCCAACCTCTAAAGAGGTGCAACATGAGGACTTCTCGAGATGTGTAACCCATTTTAGTACTACTCTGGTCTAAGTAGGCTTAACTTCAGAGTTTTTATATGATCTGGCGCACTAATGTAGGAGTGGCAATGGGTCGGGTCGGATCTGGGTCGGGGCAAACCCAGATCCGGACCCAAAAATATTGTATAGGACTTGGATCTAGACCCAGATCCGACCCAAAAATTAAAATATCTATGTAATTAACTATATTCAAATACGTTTTATATGTTAGAACTCAGAAAAATATTATTCGGACTTAGACCCGAACCCGAATAGTGTTTTAGCCCAAGATTTGAACCCAAACCCGATCCACATGTCTAATTTTTGGGCCAAACCCGGATTGGGTCTACCCCCATGTCCTAGGTAGGGTCCGGGGCCATTGCCACCCCAACACCAATGTTGGTAGAACCGCACCCCTAGCTAGCTCTAAGTTGAGAGGTTATCATGGAGAGAGAGAGAGAGTTAAGTTCAGTTATTAAGCGGAGGGTGAGAAGCTGAGGGGACATCATGTAGAGAGAGACAGAGAGATTACTTAAGAGGATATGAGGAGAGAGAAAGAGAGAGTATGGGAAGGGAGAGAGAGAGAGAGAGAGAGAGAGAGAGAGAGACCTGTGTTTGGATCCTCGCTATTTCTTGTGTTTTGTGATGCCAATGAAATGTGAAGCAATTTGGTTTTAATTAATGTAATGCTCGTCAATCACTATGCTTGCCCAAACGAGAGTTGCAGCAACGATGGCGATTAGGGCAATTGGCATCCATTTTAGAGCTATCACCTGCAGTTGAACTTAAAATGCCTTGGTAAATGAAAACAAAACATTCACTACAAAAAGAAGGGAGGGTATAGTGAACTCCTGCTGGAGCAAACTATATTGTTACTCTCGTGGGCACAAAATATCTCCTTCAAAGGTCTTTTTTTTTTTTTAAAAAAAAGAAAATTTTTGAAAGTTTGGAATCCACTTAAGAATATGTTAAAAGACTGGAATTTAGGCTTCTAAAGATTTATACATAACCGTGCAAATATTGGATGACCATTATTTAACAGGGGTGTGGTTTCTATAAGGTTGCAACCTTAAACAATCCAATTAAGGCATACTTTCAAATTTTATTATAATATGCAATTTTTGTATAAAAATTTCTTAGAATTATCTTAAAATCTATTTTCATATCTAATTATAAAATTTTAAACCCTATAAATGGTTAAAATCAAGTAGATCTATAAATAAATGGAAATCTTGAAAATGGATGGTCTAGATAATGTGTTGCAAGATGCACTATTTCTAAGACTCAAATCTTCTTTTCTTTTTTTCATATTCATACATCTTGATGTCGAGATGATCAATTAGATGGTTTTGCCATTTTTCTTTTAACCAAAAGATGTAATTCTTTAAAGAGTGAAGTTCTTATAAACTTTCCACCTTATATTATTATTATTGACAAAGGTAAAGTGCCTACCTTATATAAGCAAGATGCACCTCTAAATTTTTGCCATAAAATGGAGTTCTAGTATGGAAAACCTTACAATGGCTTAAAAATCCATGTCTAACCCTAGAATATGAAATTTAAAATTAAAAGAATAATGCAGATTGAGATAATTTATAAACACTTGAAATTCTTCAAAATAAGTGGTTCAGATAACGTGCTACAAGATGAACTAGTTATATGACTTAAAATTCATTTCTTCTTTATGTGCATATATCAACGTCAGAATGATCAATTGGAAGATTTCCAACTTCGAAATACTCTTTTCGATTGGATTTTGAAGTGCATCTTACTTCTCTAGTATAAAGTTGCAACTTTATATAAAATTTTCCTTTTTAAGGTATATATAGAGTGTATTTACATATTATACTTCAGTTTATTATTTGAGGATAGTTGTTAGGCTGAAGAAGTAATATCCCGAAGTTTGGGGTCCTAAAATATCTTCTAGATAGGGATTTATCTATTGAGCAGGCTTTATGTACTTCCCCTATCCAAACTTATGCCACTATATAAAACTTATGTATTCCCTTTATTCAACTATTCATTTTGAATGGACGGTTGAGATAGCCGTAATCACAATGTTATACTTTTACACTTTTTTTTTTTCTGTAAAATATTTTGACACCAAATTTTGGGTGTCCACTCCTCTCTTAAACTTGCAACTGCAAAAAATATAAAATAATATTACCAATAAATAAATATAATATTTTTTGTTATTTTATTTTATCAAAAATATGTTTTGAATATTTGTTTTAGGTTCGCCCCATTGAGATAATGGCACATATCAAATATCATATTCATATAATTTATCTAAAAAAAAATACTTAGACGCATCAAATCTAGATCAAAGGGTCAGTGGCTCACTTAATATTAGTTGGACTGCCGAATGGAGGGGGGAGGATATATCTTCTATATAGTGGAGGACTTAAAGAAATCTTTCTATCTATTTAGTTAATTTAAAAAAATATAGGGTTTTCCAAAGGGAATGTACGATATCCGCCTTCGGGGCACTTTGATCCTTGTGGCTAAAAAATATTTGTGAAACTAGTTAAAATAAAATAAGGGTGCTGTTTATATAGAGCCTAGGCTCTAAACAATCAAATTAGAGCCTACCTTTAAATAGTGTCGAGAGACGTGGTTTCAATACTTGTAATCATTTTGAATACTTGTAATCATTTTGATAGCCTTAAAATATATTTCATCTTTATTTATAAAATTTAAAGCTTCAAAAATAGTGTAGATTGAGAGATCTATGAAAACTTGAAAATTGACGGTCCAAAAATGCGTCACAAAATACACTATTTTCAAAACTTGAAATCTATTTTTTTATCATGTCCATGCATCTCGATGTCGAGATGATCAATTTGAGGATATTTGAGCATCAAAACAACATCTTCTGTGTACTTTTTTAGATAGGCTCTAATTTGATTATTTAGAGCCTCGGCTCTATATAAACTTTTCCCATATGGGAGATACTCCTTGGGACGATTATTTGGGGGGGCGTTGAAAATGCATATCCACAGTCCAATCTTATTATCGAGGGATGGTAGCGGTGATCCGATGTCCCATTGTTACGCCACAAGGACTATTGGCTGGCATCCACCATCCCTTGAAGGTACGGTTGGTGGATGGTTTGCCTTAGGACATCACACTTACTCGTTTGGGTGTACAATCTTTGGTCATGACCATGCGGTCCCCTGATATCTAGGGAACGCGTACGGTCCAACTCCTATCCATAGTGTAAAAATATTTAAAAAATTAGTTTTGCAATTAAAAATTTATATATTTTTATATTGAAAAAAGTTTATATAGAACCGAGGCTCTAAACAATCAAATTTGAACCTACGTAAAAACTTCCATTAGAAAAGATTGTTTTGATGCCCCAATATCCTCAAATTTATCAACTCAACATCAATATACATGGATATGACAAAAAAATGGATTTCTAAGTTTTGAAAATAGTGCATTTTGTAACGTATTTTTTTACCATCAATTTTCAAGTTTTCATAGATCTATCGATCGACACTATTTTTAAAGATTTAAACTTTATAAATAAAGATGAAAACATATTTTAAGGATTTTACAAAGATTTTCAATATTGAAACCATATTTCTCAACACTATTTGAAAGTAAGCTCTAATTTGATTGTTTAGAGCCGAAGCTCTATGCAAACGGCACCCTTTTAGATCATAAATCTCTCAAAAAATTAAATTCAAACTCCATCCCTAAGATGGACTTTATTGGATCGCACGTGCACATATCGGGCCAGAGACTCGTACAAACCTTGGCCGTTGTGTAAATATAGGATTTATCTACAATGAGACATCTACCTTTCATCTAGAGGGGTCACAAATACTAACTATCCGAAGAGATTTTCTTGGAGTTTGAAAGTGAATGGTACATCTGTAGCCATCTAATTTCGAATCTAATGGCTAGAAGCGAATTTCAACTTTATGCATCATTGATTAATAATCTTAGGGTATACTTCGTATGAAGAGATAAATGATCAGCATATAAGAGGTCAGATTTCTTGTTAATTAGAGAGATTCTAATTATTTTTTTTGCCCTTATTGAATCTTTATTAGTAAAAATACTAGCACCCATGGTACTATAAAATATATTTTTCTATAATTTTGCTTTTCTCTTTTTGTCACATTGTTCACCTCAAGCATGTTTGAATGCCATATTTGGCATTCACTGTTGAAAGTTGACAATTCCCTCCCATGGCGATTCAATCTGTCTGCCAATTATGAAAATTGAAATGTAAGATCTATTTGCTGCCAAAAGAAAAGACCTCTCTCTCTCTC